CAGAAAACAAATCATTCCTTTTCCTTCGGAGCCAAATTAATGCTGATACAAGTAAAACTTGAGAGTCAATATAATATTTTAGGAAGCATGTCTAGTTGAGTCCTATGCTTGGGCTTCTTGAAAACCACCATATACATACAAAGGGAGAACACACACACAGACACACACACACACACACACACACACACACACACACATTTAAATCAAGCCTCCTTTTTTTCTTGCTTCCTCTTGATTTCTGAGCAAAGCATCTTTTTTTCTGAAAGTTAACTGCCTGGAGTTGAACAATCAGAGCCCTGGCTCTTTTCCTGAGCCTCAGAGAGACATCACTATATCAAATATTTATTATAGTTTACGGTGAATGATTTTTCCTTTATTCTTAGAATTGGACGGATGCTGTAAAAACAGGTATTTTTCTATAATCTTCCAGTGAGAAAGCGATGTATATCTGCATAAATTGTTCCAAATTGACCACTAATTTGCACACTCATGTATGTGTGTGTTTGTATGCCTGGACAATTTGGAAGTCCCATTATTTCTTAAATAAAAATGATAAGGTCCTACTTCCCAGATTATATTATTTTCCCCATCAATCTTTAAAAAACACTATCATTCAATCTAATACCAAGCACATCCAAACGATGGGTTAAGATTGAAGTTTTACTAGAATGATCTGAAAAAAATATTTTCTTATCCCTTTCAGGTCATGTGGATGTTATTAACATCCAATAAGACAATTAATACCTTATTTACCCTAATTCTCAAAGTTGCCTTTCCAACAGTGTCATTTGGCTATCTTGAGGCAACAGATAACCATTAAGGAAGAACAGAACGTCATGGAACCATCTGGTATCCGTAAGACATAAAAGCCCACGTTATTATAGATCTAATTGCTTTCTTTCAGTCATAATTTATGTTTGTTTGCTGGTTGGTTAATTGACAATTAAACAACTTGCTCCCAGACACAGTTTCTTCTCTTTCAGGAAAAGTATCCATCTCATTTTGGCTGAGGCTCAGGTTTCTTTCTGTATTTGAAGTGAGAGCTACATCACACCTAGAGAAAGGCAGAAAAATCCCACAAACACAACTTTTAATTTCTATTTTCTTGACATCACATACATCTGCAATGGGGAAAAATCCATCTGTTCTGCCTAGTAGACATTGCCATAAGAAAACTCAACAGCATGGAAAAACCTTGATGAAGTAAAGGTGAGTGTCGCCTTCATGTTCTTACAGACACTTGATAGTGTTAACATGGCAGTGACCATTATCTAAGTTTAATTACAGGATCAAATTACTTGTCAAAAACGTACTATAACTTATGTACTGTCGGCTATGCCCCAATCCCTATTTGTAAGCCTATCAGACAACATTATTTATTTCAAAACAGAAAAATTCTGCCACCTTCCTCAATTTATTGTACTATAAGCAGAATAAAAGTAAAATGTTATCAACAGAAATCTTCATCATTTTAGAGCTTTTCACTCCATTCACTCTCCTCCTCCCTCACACATAAAGGCAGCTGGGTGAAGAACAAAACTCTACTAAACTATATTGTCAACATCTGCACAACAGTCAAGAGGCTGTCACTGTTCCAGCATGTGCTATATGTACTATACAGTCACTCAAAAGACAAAACCTTTTTTATTCCCAAGCCACTGTGATTACTGGGAAGTATCACAGTGAAGCTGGATACATAATACACCTACTAGTCAAAAAGATGAAGTACACACGTGCCTGGAAGTACAGTGAGAGCCAAGAGAACTCACTGAGTTGCCTGCACATACGATGTAGGCAACTAGGCAAATGTACATACTAATTTTTGAATGTTTAGGTTCTTGTGAGTGCACAAAAATGCCTTCTGCTTAAATTAAAAGCTGTACCCAAAATCTATTCCGCTGTGAGTTTATAAGCGATTCATTTTTCTTTTTAATGCAGCATTTATTAAGCACCTACTTTGTGCAAAGCATTATTTAGGTAGAGGGTAGGTGCAAGAGAATATTAAAGGTACTTTGCTACCAGCTGATAATCATAAAAAGCAGCTGTTGTGAAATGCCCGAAGTGGACAGTTGAAGAAAAAAGGTACTTTATAATAGTCCTGGGAGTCATTACGATTGCTTAAAGTAGCAAAGGAAATTAGAGAAATGAAGTAGCCCTTAGAAGTAGAGCAAAACACGCAGTCATCACTTGTAGCCCAGCACTACATCAATTATCTCTCAAAACTTTTTTTTTTTTTTTTAACAAACTCCTTCACTTATGTTTTCATATAAGGTCTCCAATCTCATCACTGTATGAGGCAGCAGAATGGTAACTGGCAAAATCTCCCCCAGTTTGTCTATTCTGGCCTCAAGGCCTAGTATTTTCACTTTTTTTTTAAGGATGCATTTGGTCCAGTCTTTTAGCAGCAAGGCAGCACATCCAGAAGCAAGCTGCCCTGAACTGGGATCTAAGTCTGCAATCACTAAAAATGGGATCCATTGTTTTTTCTCATCCTCTCTTTACCAAAATACAAGTGTTTATTGCTGTACCTGCAGGAACTCTCACTTTAGACATGAAGAAATGAATTGCCCCACATACTTCTCTCAAGGATAATATGAAAAACTGCTGAAAATTTGTTGTATAGTAAATTCCATAGTAAACAGTTTGATTGTTTGTTTCTAGGTAGACTACAGCACCTGGGCAGAAAAGGACATCATGCTTTAATAAATGCAAAACAATATCTTTCTCCCTTTCCCTACACTTACTAAATTTAGCAGCAGGAGTGTCTGCCAACCAAGTAGTTTCTACTGCTTTGGGAGAAGAAGCGAACAGCGATAGAATATTATCAGCTGAGCTGTGGGCAAAAGCCCATTTTAGGCTATGTTTGAAGAAGTTTTGGTAAATATGAAAGCATCCACCAAAGATATTACACATAAGAAACAAGTTAAAAATTACTTTAAAAAGTAGTTAAACATTCAGGACTAGATTTTCATGGGCCAAGTAGAAAATAGGAATATAATGAGGTAAAATCCGAGGTGCCTGACAAGCCTAGTTGTCAATAAACCTTTCATCAGAGGGGAAAGAAAAAACAATTTAGATAAGTTGTATGAAGCATGGATGTTAAGTTATTCCCACATACCAACAGTCTGTTTTCCAAACATTGTATCAGTAATGACTCAAACGTTTATTGACTAAAGCAGAGTCCGCTTAATAAAAAAGTACCAATCATTTCAAAATTAAATCTTGCAAGTTTTGTTTTAATTGATGCTTTCCCATGAAGTGTACACGCGAATATGGAGAGGCTGTGGGGATCCCAGCTCAATTTACAGTGATGTAAGAACATCTAGGAGAAAACCATTCCTGTAAAACACATTAATTAGAGCCACAAAAAGTTTATCTGTTCTATTTACGTATCAATCAATCAAGAGTGGTCAGAAAAACACACAGTAGGTCTACTACCCTAATTACGAAATTACAACAATGAATCACTTAAACGTCAACTTTCACTACTCGTCTGGGTTTAATTTCGTTTTCTTACCATAAAAGCTTATTGTGTGACTGTTAAAAACGAAAGTTCTCTATTTAATAGTCTCCTAAAATCTACCCTCATGCTCTTCAAACTCCAGTAGCAAAAGCGAGCTATCCAAATGTGTTGACTCCGGGCGGGCAGAGACAAGGTTCTGCAAGGGAGCTGTGGCACTGCTCACGATATCGCGTGAAAACGGGGAAATTAGTTGTTAAAAAGCATTTGCTGCTGATATGCCATGCAAGAATTTCCTTTAAATTAAAAAGAGATAGAGAAGAAAGTAGAAAAAAGGAAGAAGGAAGGGGAGGAGGAGGAGGAGGAAGAGGAAGAAGAAAAAGGAGGAGGAGGAGGAAAGGAGGAAAAAAATGATCAAAGCTCTAAAATCGCAACAAAGTTGCAGGATGACTTTTCCTTCTATTTGCTATTTTGTAAAATGAAGTTTAAGAGGCATTATTTCCTCGGGGTCCTAGGAAGGCCGCCACTGTTACAAATCCCAAATCATCTCCAGCCTTACCTTACGCTGTTAGCACAAACCCAGGGGCTAAGGGGCCCTGATCTCAGCGGCAGCAGCAGGGGCAGCGGCAGCGGCACATGCCATCTGTTAGCGGCAGAAGCAAAAGCAGCGCTGCGCGAGGTGGCCCCGGTGCCGGGAGAGCCTTTAGCAGGGGTGCATACTGAATGCCGCCATTTTAAAGCGAGATTCCTGAAATCATTAGATATAAGCAAATTAAAGCCCGCCCCACCTCCAGAACTTCAGGGCTGGGACTTGCAACCCGGCTCCAAGTCGGCGGCTCTGGGATATAAAATGTCAAGTCTACAGACAAGCGCACGCGGACTCTAGGACGGAGGCGACGGTCCCCCCTCTCTCTTCTGCCCCCTGGGCCCCTTCGTGCTTTTGCAAGACTCCTTTCGGTTCCAGGGCCCAGAATATTTTCTTTTCTGGGCTCCTCGGGGCCCCTTCCCGGGCCTGGCTGGCGGGCTGTGGGGGGAAGGGACGGGGCCCCCGGCCGGCCCTCCCCGCTCCTCCCAAGCTCTTGGTTCAGTCCACTCGGAGCACACCTCGGAGCGCCCCAGCTCCCTCGCGGCGGCCGGGCGTGGGGCTCCCGCCCGGGCTCGCAACTGCCATGGCAACCCCGGTCCCAACCCCGCCCAGCAATCGCCAAAGGCGTGCCCTCCGCCCGGGCCAGTACCCTCCGCCGGACGCCAGACGTTCCCTTGCGGAGCCCTGTCGACCCCGGGCAGCCCGGGCCCCCGAGGCTCCGTGCGTCCCGCGCCGGACACACGCGGCACACGGAGGGAAACGCCGCCGGCTAGGGGCCTTTGGGCGCCAAAACGGAACTCCCGCGAAACTCCGCCGGCCAGCGGAGCTGCGCGCGGGCATCCGGAGCGCCGGACTCGGAAGCGGCGCACGCGACCTGCCGCCCGACCCCGCCCCGCCCCGACCGGCCAGGTAGCGTGGCGCGCCCCGCGTCGCCTGTGCCGCCGCGAACCTCACCTGGCTCGGCGCGCCGCTGCGGGACGGGCGGGAATACGGCCGCGGGCCGCCTTGGCTCCCGCGCCCACCCGGTACTCTCTGGCCTCCTCCTCCCTCTCGCTGCTCCTAAAGAGCGCCAAAAAGTCGCGCTTCGGCTCACGCTCCGAGTGCGGGCACTTTCTTCCTGTAGGGCGCTGTTTCGTCGCGAAATATATTCTTTGTGTGGTTCGCTCACTCGTGCCTGGTTCTCCGAGAGCGCAGCGCGGGCTTTATTCTCAGGGGGTGTGGCGCCTCGCCCCCAAACCCAGCAGCCCAGCCCCCCTGCACAGACCCTTTGTCATTTCATTGTGGGGGGAGCAAATCATAACGCTCAGATTTTATAAAAGCGAAAACAAACGGCGCACGCACACATCCCCAGAGGCGGGGGTGGAGTGGGGGTGCAAAGTTTCTGCCGCTTCAGGAACTGAAGTGCCAGTGAGAAAGGCAGTGTGCTTCACAGCGGGACGCTCATAGACACTGCCCAGACAGGTGAGGCGAAAGGGGTCCTTTCAAAATTCATCTGAGTCGATAAACATGCCCACTCACTATAGGCTAAATAAATACATTCATACTCACCAGCTGCCTTCCTGGAGGTTTTCCCTTTCATAAATGCCCTAGTCCTTTATTTCCCTCTGAGAATTTCAGACAGGGAAATGCTGATGAGTGCAATCTGTTCCCCTTCTTCCACGGAGTTTGCAGAATAGTAGGAACCCTGAGGTAAGGTTCCAGATACTTTGGAAAATGGACAAAGCAAATGCAGTTTTATATCTTGATTAAAACGTGTGCATCTGCACAGCGAAATTACAAGTTTCCATTTAATGCAAGTGTAATAGGAGCACCAGCTGTCCCTTAATTGGAGCCCCACAATAATAAATGCGTGCTTTTATTTAATTTTACGAAGACAATTGTAGTTGATAACACACGCATATGCAGGACCGTCAGTGACAAGCTCATAGCAATTCATGTCTGCTTTCCTGTAATCAACTGCTTCACCCGGGGACAGAGTTCTACATGCTCTGCACAAAGTGCAAAACATTGGAGGAGATATTCAAGCAGCAGTTAGGTTGAAAAGTGGAGTGAATTCTCAGGCTACTTATACTTTTTAATTCTGATGGACTGATCCGAATAGAATTCTCCAGCTAATTTTAGGCAAGAAATCAATCTGTTAAGTCCAAGATAATAGGAGTAGGATGGTAATGGTTGGGAGAAGACGGTACAAACTGCCCTTCAAAGAATTGCGAAAACCCCGGATGGTGCTTGGCAAGTATGGTTAAAGTCATCGGGACAATGAGCACGGATGGTGTCCGAAACTTTGTTGTATTGGGTTGAAACCTAGCATAAGTCAAGAGAGTAGGAGTTTCTAGTTATTTGAGAAAAGGGGGAAAAGATGCTAATTCCTAACCACCTCTCCCCACCTGCCTTCAAATTTGCCAAATTGCCTGAACTGCTGTAAAAGTCAAAATGTCTCTGACATGCATGAAGTGGCTTGGGCAGTCCAAGATCTACCACAGCAAAAACTAGGCAGTGTTGGCTACCATAGTCAGCTAGAGAGAAGGGCATGGCTGAATTACCTAACTTTACACCCAATGATCTAACAAATGAGGAACTATTAGCACAGTGAGTCAACAAAGGACTCTCTATATTAAACATAACTTGGGTGAACACCAGTTCTCTTACCTCTGTCCACCATTGCAAGCCACATCTTCTGTGGGATAGTCAGCGTTTTGCTAATTCCATGAAAACTGGCTCAGTCTGATTGAACTGCTGAAATAATTGTTTTATCTTGCATTTAAGGCATAAATAGGTCAATTGGTTATTTCTTGGGATACTTTAGCTTCAACATTGTCTCTTGTGCTTTTAATTTCTGGCCAGTGAAAATTGCAAATGAGACTTTATTATTCTCTCTTTCCCACACTGGAGGGGAAAGCAACCTTATAAACAAATTTTAGCCTGGTAAACTGCCTCCCTTTATCCAGGGTGGCAAGACCTCCACAAATGAAGCGAGGCAAATTTCCATGCCACCAGGCCACTGGGTAATGTTGTAAAAGGCCCTAAGAAATTGCTACTCCTTCCTCAGCATTTTTCAAAGGCCAATTTGCTCTCGGGGAGGGACTCACTTTGGAATTACTTTCTTTCCATTTTAGTAGAGTGGTTAGAGCAAGCCAATATTTTCTCTTCTGTTCTTCTCTTTAGGCATAATTGGTGGCATGACCCAGGAAAAGTAGAATCTTGTACTGACTGATATGCCAGATGAATTCTCACAATAGTATATGTATATTATCGTCTTGGAATACATATGCCTGTTCCCTCATCGCATTTTGAGATCATCTGAGAACCACTATTCTGATGAATCTTCAAAAGTCAGTGTCTTGCAACTCTTGGATTTAAAAATTAACTCTTGGATTTAATATAAAGACTCCTGGCTGGGTGGGGTGGCTCACGCCTGTAATCCTAGCACTTTGGGAGGCCAAAGTGGGCAGATCACTTGAGGTCAAGAGTTCCAGACCAGCCTCGCCAACATGGTGAAACCCTATCTCTACTAAAAATACAAAGCTTAGCCTGTCATGGTGACACGTGCTTGTAGTCCCAGCTACTCAGGAGGCTGGCAAAAGGATTGCTTGAGCCCGAGATCGTACCACTTGCACTCCAGCCTGGGCGACAGAGTGCGACTCTGTCTCAAATAATAATAACAATAAGAATAAATAAGTCCCGTCCCTCTCTCCTAGCCAGTCAAATGCAGATGTGTAGCAAACATTTGAACAAACCTATGGGACATACTTTCTCTGCCCTAACTAGGTCTTATCGCTTGAGATGGACACGTACTCAAATGTAAGGCTAGGACTCTAGATAAGGATGGAGTAACCTCTCAAGTGTCATGTTCTTTCAATAAATATAATTAACTTTGACTGATGCAGGAAATAATTCTAAAAGTTATGTAATAGTTTAGTAACAAAAGGATTATTGTAATCCACCACCAAACAAATGTTGCTGTGTTTTTAAAGATGTCAGATAGGTGAAACATTAGACTCATGCATATATCAGTGCACCAGGGTCTGGAGAAGTTTTTGAACTTTCAACATATTTGATCAGAATTATCCTTTTAATCCACTGCTGTGCCACATAACTCATTTATTATTATTTTAAACAGTCAACGTGCACTATTGGACATATGGGCAGGGCTTTGCTTTGGACAAAAGGTCAAACATCTCTTTTCTGTTTTGAGCCTGTGTAATTATTCTCACTAGCCTATCAACAATAGTGTTATTTGCTACTGCTGTGTTCTAGCAATGGCCCCACAGCATTATTTGTGGTCATTCCATGCAGATGCCTCTGGCTATTTAAGGGTGGTTCAAGAGCTAAAGACACTGATTATTCATTCATTCTTGAAGAGTCTTTTCATTCAGAGTTGGGAATTTGGACTTTGGGGTTCACACAAAGGTTCCTACTAAATAAATGGGGGAAAAAAACGGAATCTGGTTCTTAAAAAGGATTAAACAATCAACTAAAGGTTGGCTTCCAAGGTGAGCCCTGTGTAAAATGATATAGACTGTATTCTTACAGAAGAAACTATAATGCAATTTAGTAACTAGTTGAACACAGAAACAATTGCAAGCATAGATAATAAATTGGTCAACAATTCTCAAGTTGCAAAGCAAATGTCTGAAACTCAGGGTTTTTTTTTTTTTTTTTTTTTTTTTCCACCTGGACAAAATTGTCAGAATTATTTGGACATATTCTAATAAATACGGAAGAAAAGAGGACAAATATTAGAAAACCACATCCTTCAAAGCACACCTGGGCCTGATGGCTTTACAAAGTGATTTCTCTTCCAAGCCTTTTAAGAACATATTATAGGAATTATCCTTGATTATTGAAAAGTATGGTATATTTCTTAAAATTGCCCTTAGAGGGAAATATGCTAAGAATAATACAGATAAAAATAATACGAAAAGGTAAGAATAAGTCAAAATGGGAGTATGATATAAAAAAGAAAATCAGGCCCTCTTCTCACTTGGGAATACGATAATTATAACAGTAACCATTTAATGCAGAACTATTCCATACTAGGCACTGTACTAAGTATTTTTCACACATTAGCTCGTTTAATTCTCATAGCAATCCTTATAAAAATATTTTTTATGTCCCCATAAAAACAGGAAAACTGAGGCTTGCCAAAAGTAAAAAAAGTTATTAGGTAGCAGAACTACCATTCTACACTATTTTTCTCTGATGACAGGGCTCATGTTTTAACTCTGATGACAGGGCTCTGTTTTAACTACCAGACGGTACTGAATAAAACTACTATGATGACAGGGCTCAAGTTTTAACTACCAGACAGTACTGAATAAAGCTCCTATGAGGTCCAATTGGATTTAAACTCAAACACTTGCTCCATCAAGTATGCCTCATTGATGTGGGCATTTTAATAAAAATTCTATGAATACAATACAGACATTTATTCAAATAATTTTGTCTTGATTAAATATTGTTTATCCCAGAAATGTAAAGATAATTTCAACTACTATCAATATATTGAAAAATATATGATTATCCCAGTAAATGCCAAAAAAAGGTATTTAATAAAATCCAACTCCTATTTATGGTTACATCAGGAATAGTGAACTATGTCTCTGACATAGTAAAAAATGTATACTCAAAAAACAAAGAACCAACCTCCTACCTTTTGACAAAACATTATTTTCTAAAAAGCTGAACTAAAATAAGACTGTTTTAATCATTTGTAAGTCTAGTGCTTCTGATAAATGTTTGATTTGGCAATAGATATAAAGACAGATTAGCAATAAATATTGGAAAGGAAGAAACTATGGAGAATTGTTACATCAGATTATTTTTTAAAAATCAGTTTTAGGTCCACAGCAGAACTGAAATGTGCAGAGATTTCTCATATAGCCTGCCCCCAACACATGTACAACCTTTCCAGTTATTAACATCCAATTGATGAGCCTACATTGACACATAATTATCATTCAACCAACAGTTTACGTTAGAGTTCACTGTCAAAATTCTATGAGTTTGGACAAATGTATAATGACATTATCTACCATTATAGTATCAGACAGACTATTTTCAATGCCCCAAAAATCAAAGATTCAAAAATTTTAGATAACATTGCTG